ACCCTAGTCTTTTCTCTATACATGCACAAAATCATGTACTTGGGTTTTTTTTCCCCAAAATTGGGATCACTCAGTTTAGCAATCCAAACATTAATGTTAACATACTTTTCCGTTACATGAAATTACCACAATTTATTTTTTGTTGGATACTTTAGGTTGTCCTGAATTTTCAATGATATACCATTATCAGTACTATACTAAAAAGTATACTAATACATTTGCCCTTGTAGAGGACACAATGTTTTTGCACAGTTGGTGACCACACAGCTGTTTGCAGGGAGAGAGAAGTGCACACCATGTAACTCAGGTGTTTTTAATTTGCATGTTTCTAAACCAGGCCCAGCTGTTCCAGGCAATTACAGGAAGCATCTTTGTTCCAAACTATACAGAGCAGGTTCTTGGCTGGGGCCTGAGATTCCTAGAAACACATGTAGTCATTAATAGGAAATACATTCATGTTAATACTCACCAGGCAAGATAAATACTTGTTCATTCATCCTTGAATCCTTCAATCCCCATCTCCCCCCTTAACCCCAGCAAATAGATTATCAGTAACTCGAGGGCAGGCACATGCCTACTTTGTTTCCCATTATATCTTCAGCATTTAACACATTACCTAGCACATAGCAGATAATCAATATATATTTGATGAGTAAATTTGATGAATAAAGAAAGATATAAAATGAAAATATCTCATTCCAACTGCCATTGGGTCTTGGCTCTGCTTTCTTCTAAGAGAAACTGGGCCATATAGGTTTATTTATTCTATCCTAATGGTTAACTTGGGGAACAGGGACATAGTGTCTATACCTGACCCAGGTACTATTGGGTGAGGACTGTGTTTTTTTTTTTTTTTTCTATGTTGAAACTTGGTTGGTTTTACTGAGCTACAGAATGTTTCAACCTGCAGTTTGATACATTATTTCCCTAGGAAATGAACCCTGAAGCAAAGAACCATTTCCCAAGGAATTTGCATGGATTGCAAGATCCTGGTTTTGTTTTTTTTTTTTTTGAGTGATAATAAACCACTTTGGAATCCTTTACTAGTGGGTGACATTGTATTAAAGCTTTCAGAAACATTTTAAGCCTCAAAATATTAGACAGTTATGGTGGATGATCAGATGTTCCTCTGATGACTAGTTCCTATGCTTCTAGAAATAGTCTCAATGAATAGAAAATAATATAGTTTTATTCATTCCAACACTTACTGAGTACATCCTAGGTGTCAACTTTTGTACTGGATGTTAGAAAAAAAAGAGATGCATATAGATATAGAGACAAATGCACAATTATCATACGGTGTGGGATGTGATGTAACTGGCTGTGGACAGGGGGCTGTGGTGACACAGAGGAGAGAGCAACTTGCTAATCCCTGTTGGTAAAGTTGGGGAAACTTTCATGGTGATGAACCCATTTTTACATGGGGCTTGAGGGATGGATAGGCATTTACCAGGCAGAGGAAGGGGGAATAGGCATTCAAAAAAAAGCCAAAGCTGAGAAGGACGCAGTGCAACTGGGACAGGTGAGGGCCTTCAGGGCAGGCTGGAGCATAGGGTATGTGCCGGGAGATGAGATTGTGGCAGACCTCAGATGTGTCATCCAGGAACCAGCTAAGGAGCTGGTACTTTGTTGTGTAGATAATGAAGGTTTTGATAAGGGACATTTATCCTTCAGCCATTAATATCAACCGGCCAAATTAAGACATTTCCTTCTGATAATGGTCGATTAAGAAGACAAAGACTTGATTTTCTTTTCTTTTAGATTTTAGGCTTTGTTATATCCTCTCTTTTTTTTTTTTTTTTTTTTTAAGATTTTATTTATTTATTTGTCAGAGAGAGAGAGAGAGAGAGCGAGAGTGAGCACAAGCAACCAGTAGATAGAGAAGCTGATGTTAGTGAGGTGCTCAAGTGAGAGATGGAGAGTTTTCAAGATCTCAAACTATAATACTGACAATGTTGATGGTACCATTGATGAATTCAAACAACATTTGATAAATGACCAGGCACAGTCCTAGGTGAGGGTGGAGAAAGGAACAAGACCTCTGCAGTAATTCATTTCAGTGAGAGAGACATAAATAAGCAGGTAATTGCAATGTAATGTGATTAAGTCTTCTTAATTGTTGAGGGAAAGGATAGTGCTTTATGGCATTCACGTTTTCTGCGTAGTTTATTACAGAGTTGTTCTTTGGACACTGGCTCCTCCAGATATAAGATTCCTTTACTAACCAGAATATTTGATTAATCAAATTGTTCAATTCCCTGACCATACCTGAGTAACAGTTTATTTTATAGATCACGATCATATCATTAAAAAACCCCTCAATATTTACCACAGGGGAAAACTGTGCAATCAATCTTTTCTATAGTTAATGGCTAATTTATTTTATCTCACTTTAGCATTTTACTATCCTTTTCAATTTCCAGGAATTTAGAGGCCCCTTCTGACTTTAGAACAGAGTAAAGAGGGTTTATTTCTATGTGGTACTGATTTTTTCACATAGGTGGTGGCAAAACTTTACTAAAATAAAAAGAACAAAGGTCACTAATAGATTCCTGTAAGTGTTTAGCTGGAAGAATGAGACACAGCAGGTATGGATTAAAACAATATTAGTAAAAATCAGTTACGGTATTAAAATGACCCAAATCATAATTCCTAATGAAGTAGTGGGTATTTCTTCACCTGATAATGAAATGATCTCCCCAAAATTTAGATTCACAACTCTGAGTAAACATACGATTAGAAATACTGTCAACATTGGGCTTTTAAAAAATCATTAAAATGTTACTAATATCTTATTTGCAGGTGTCCTTCGAGAATACTTCTCGTCCCTCTGCCTTCTCACATTCCTCAGAAAGTTAGAAACATAGTCCCGTCCTCTGATAGTGAACCCCCAGGCAGTGACTCTGATTTACAGCATGTGGCTTAAATGCTTGTTTTTAACTCCCTGGGGATATCGGCCGCTAAGCCCTTTCCTCAAATACACCATCTCTTTCTTTCTGCCTGATTTCTTTCTCCTTCTCGAGCTGGGATTTGGGGCGGATTCCGTCTGCAGACTGCAATGGGACAGTCCAGCACGCCGCCCCGACAGCTGTCTGTTCTTTCCTCAGTTCCGCGGATTCCTATTTTGCAGCTTTAGAGATGGCGCATTGAACTTGAGTTTGAAACAAAACTTTTTCCCAGGTGGTGGGCCTGCCGCTCGGATGTTGATGGAGATGCCGCAGCATCCGAGAGTGCGGAGCCCTGGTCTCTCCCCGTCCGGCTCTGGGCTCCTGGCAAAGGGGGCGGAGAAGAGAGAGGAGAGGGCGGGGGTTGGGGGGGCGGAGGTCACCCGCGCTCTCCAGGCTGCGAGCGCCGCGGGGTGCTGAGCGACCGGAGGAGCCCAGCACGCCCGCAGGTTCCAGCTGGGAGAGCGCGCGGAGGGACGCGCCGCTGGGCCCAGCAGAGCCCGAGCGGGAGCGGGGGCGCGGCGCTGCGCTGCGCGGGAGGAGCCCGCGTTGGCGGCGGAGCGGAGCCCGGAGCCCGGAGCACGATGGCACTCGGAACGGGGCGCCCTTCTCCCCGGAGAGCCCTACCGGCGGCCGGGGATGCCAAGGTAACCAGCCCTCCAGCGGCTGCTTTCCCACGGGTCGGCCTCGGGATGCTCCACCCCACCGAGGTGGAACCTCGCCCGGCTGCACTGGAGGGCACCTTAGTCTGAGCTTGGCAAGTTTGGACCAGATGCCCGAGCGGCGGAGCTAGTTCTGCCGACCCGAACTGATTCTGAGCTGCGCGCGTAGGGAGCGTGTAGAAAGGCTTCCCGGGGAGGGAATGGGACCACGGAGAGATCCCTGCCCGTCCGGTGGTTTCCGGCCGGGGACTCTGGGAGTCCCGCACCCGGGCCAGAGCAGGCATTTGGCGCCCCCCAGAGAGGGAGGGAAACCGACCCCAGGGCGTTTGAGCAATAGTAGAAAGTTTCAGCAAGTTAGGTTTGGGGGAAGGATGTTGCAAGCAGAGGCTTAGAGGGGCCATGGGACAGTAAGGGCGAACTCTGAGCTCTAAGACCCGGAGCAGGAGCCGTCCTCGCGCAGGCCGGGCGGCTCCACTCCGGCCCGGCCCAAGAAAGGCTGTCTCGGTAATTCCCAGCCTCCCGGAAAGCTGCTCCGGGGAAACCTCCATCGAATTAGCTCGAGGCGTGTGGCTGTGGTCGTGGGTATGCAGGGTCTATGACTCAGGCCTCGACACACCACGGAAAGAACGATAAACGTGTGAGACGTTGCTACCCTGCAGCTGTGACTTGGTTAACAGCATATGGGCAGATGTCTCGGGGAGCGCGACGAACTGCCTCCTTACTTATCGTGAGCCGGGATTTCTGCACCGGTGCTCGCTGGACCAGAGACGCTTCTTAGAGACTCACCCCTCGACCTTCCATGGGTCCCACTTGCGTGTGGTTTGCTGAAATTTGATCTAAATCGAACGGTTTTAGAACGTATTGAGAGAAGCCCCGTTTAACATCAGTGAGCTTGCTGGTCCACTCTGTCCTCTTGAAGAAGATTGTCTCATCTTCCTGACAAACAGGTGGCTCACTTAAAGAATAATCTGCAGTTTGGGGACAAAGCCCATCCAAGAAAAAAGCAGAAACTCTAAATGTCACCTCGTTATTTAAATAGACGAATACGCTTTTAAAAAACTTCATGGGGTTTAAATCGAATCTTGGTAGAGATTTTGTCAACTTTACAAGTTTTAAGGTGCCTGTGAGGCGTCAGGGGGAGGTATTGGGGGTACCCATTTGCAGAGGGGCCACAGAGTGAACCGAAGGGGTCTCAATTTTGGCAGCTTCTTTGCCTTGGAAGTGAAATGTGGAAAGGCAGGCAGATGTGTGCTGCTGTGGTATGATGCAACCTTGCTTATGATAGGCCAGATACATCTGAGTCCCACCACGGGGTGCTGGGGCGCGTCAGTCTTAAAAGCCAGATGAGCAGTTTATGCTGTCCTCACACTTCCTCTGTCTTTATGCTACAGATGTCCGGACTGCAAGCCTGCACTGTGCTGAGAGAGAGATGACTTGAGTGGCCAGCATCTTTTTTTTTTTTTTTTTAAGCTCCACAACAATGTCTATGAACAATTCCAAACAGCCAGTATCTCCTGCAGCTGGGCTCCTTTCCAATACAACTTGCCAGACGGACAACCGGTTTTCGGTATTTTTTTCAATCATCTTCATGACAGTGGGAATTTTATCAAACAGCCTTGCCATTGCTATTCTCATGAAGGCCTATCAGAGATTTAGACAGAAGTCCAAGGCATCGTTTCTACTTTTGGCCAGTGCCCTGGTAATCACAGACTTCTTTGGCCACCTCATCAATGGAGCTATAGCAGTCTTTGTGTATGCTTCTGATAAAGACTGGATCCGCTTTGACCAGTCGAACATCCTTTGCAGTATTTTTGGTATCTGCATGGTATTCTCTGGTCTATGTCCTCTTTTTCTAGGCAGTGTGATGGCCATTGAGCGATGTATTGGAGTCACCAAGCCAATATTTCATTCTACGAAAATCACATCCAAACATGTGAAAATGATGTTGAGTGGAGTGTGCTTGTTTGCTGTTTTCATAGCTTTGCTACCCATCCTTGGGCATCGAAACTATAAAATTCAAGCATCGAGGACCTGGTGTTTCTACAAAACAGAGCACATCAAAGACTGGGAAGATAGGTTTTACCTTCTACTCTTTTCTTTTCTGGGGCTCTTAGCCCTTGGCGTTTCATTCTTGTGCAATGCCATCACAGGAATTACACTTTTAAGAGTTAAATTTAAAAGTCAGCAGCACCGACAAGGCAGGTCTCATCATTTTGAAATGGTCATCCAGCTCCTGGCTATTATGTGTGTCTCCTGCATTTGCTGGAGTCCATTTCTGGTAAGAGCCTAACATTTTGACAATTTCTGCTTTCTTTTGTTTTTCCCTGTTGAATATGAGGTTTGTTGTTTTTTTCAAAGTTGTGGTCTTGAGGCAGCACTGTTCAATCTTTTAAATGCTGGAGTTTATTCCTACTCAAAACTTACTTTAACACCCAGCTCTGGCTCAGGATTAAGCTATTTATGGTACCCATGGTTATTTTCCTACAAGTCCTGAGTTGAAAGAAATGTCTTGCTAAACAATTCTAACTATAGTGTAACCTGCTTGCAGAGGAGGATAAAGTAATTTTAACAGAGCAACATAGTTTTAATATACTTAATAGGATTAGTGTCAAAATGTGAAAAAAACTGGCCAACTATAATACAGTATTGTAATGGACTCAACTTAAGTCTTAGTAGAAGAAAGTCACACAGACTTTTAATTTATCTAAAAGGCATATTAGCTCCTGGGTTCTTGTAAACACACAGGACTAGGTCTTGGCTTACAAAGGGAGGTGATGAGTTGAGATAGTTGGATAGTTGAGGTGAACTCTATGGATAGGTTAGGTGAAGAAATCACTAGTTCACCAACCCAAGAACAATGCTCATAGTTCAGGGAGAGGTGTGATTGGTAGGAAAACCAGGGATCATTCCCTTATCATTCCATTCCTTTAAGGAAAAAAAATTTTTAAATGTAGCCAGTAGCTATGTTTGATTTTTATTTGGAAATGAAAACTAAGGTTAAGGAATTAACAACAAACATCAGTCATTTATAGTATCTTCTAGATGGAAGAAAAAAATACATATGATTTTTAAGTATGGCCATAACTCCCTTCATCATTTTACTTTATGATGGGAAGAGTAACAACATGCCATGAATTCGAAAAAGAATCCTCCGTACACAGCTAGTGATGGCAGTAAAGATGATTTTCATTCCTTTTTCGGTAATGGTGAACAAATAGGCTAGAGATAGTAATACAGGGGAGCCACAGGTAGGGGAGATGAAGGTAGATGGAATGCACCCTTGCCTGGTCCTATAAAGGTGCTTGTTACTGATGCAGTTTTCCCAAACCCCTAGCAGGCCCATGTCTAAACATTGTTGCTAGTGGAGTTTTAATAAACAATCTTGATGATCCTGATGCACAAGAAAGTTTGTGAGACCTGCTGTTGCAGACAGATCCCCTGACAGCTGATTTTATTTTACAAAAGGATTTCTGCTTTTTGAAGATTTCTTTATTTATATTATGTCCTCACAGTCTCAGTTTAGCTTACTTGAATTGTCTCGAATTGGTCCTCGGAGCCCAAGCCCAGGGAGGCTAGGTTGGGTCTGTCAGTGGTAAGTCAACCTTTTGAGACCTGCCTGTTATCATTTTAGTAGGCCTGAGGTGAAACCAAGCCAGGATTTGATCTGTGCTCATAGTCTAGTTATTTGAACCTGAAGCAGAGAACAGTTCTGTCAATACTTGGAATCACTTCAGCGTTCATTCTTGAAGTTTTATTTATGCCACCTTACAAAGGGAATTCCCTTCAAAGGAGACTCCTTTTTTCCCCTTAAACTTTGAAATAGAGTAGCTTTTCCAAAATCAGAAGTGAGTGTGAGTAGCACTGAAATTAATTGGGGGTTGGAAAGAGAATATGAGGAAGGTGAGGAAAGAGGTACCTGAAAATAGTTAAAGAAACATTTTAAATGAAAGTCGTAGCTCTGGAGAGAACCTGAAAACAATGGGATACGGTGTGCAAGGAGAGACAGGTGGTCAGGGCAACCAAGGTGATCACTGGTGCTTTTGTTTCTGTTTGTTCTCAGTCACCTTTAAAATTCTGCTTAGTTATGGCTTTTGACTGAGAGAGAGGAGTGACAGATAGGTTGACTGCTGTGAGACTGTGGAAGGTAGCAAGATTTCATGCTCATCATGGATATTTTGAATTTATGTTTTTCTCTAATTTCTCTTCCTGAATTTTTGGTTTCCTTCACTGTTGAAATAGATATTACAATTTAGTTCCTATTTTGAACATATTTCTACTGGGAGCACAGTTTTATTTTTGTGCAACATTTTCCAGGTCTATGTTCTGTTTATGAATTATCAACACACCTATGACACCAGTGGATCAATATTTCTAAAATGCCTCTTAGCGTAAGAATTATTTCTCTGTTAGATGCATAATGGATATGCCACCAACACTTGCTGATGGATTGATATTTTATTTGAAGCATTCTTTGCATTCTTGGTTTCTCTTGTGAAGACTTAGGTCTTTATAGCAAATTCTGACTAAGAGATTCATAACTTCTGTGGTCCGGACACACGTGCCTTTGGCATTAGGGTAAGGCCACCAGTCAGCTCTAAATGGAACCCTAGTTAAAAAAAAAAAAAACACTCAGGTTTGGGAATGCCAAATAACACCCAGTGCTAGCATCTCATTTGAAATATTTCTCCATTTTTTCCTTAAATGCTTAGGAAAAATTGCATGGGTGTTAATGACTGAGCCATCACTCTCCACCCTGTATTTTTAAAAAACCAAGAAGTTTTAAAAATATCTCTGAAATCAAGCTTCTGGATTCCCATAGTTGTCCTATAATATTGATAGCTTCCCCCAATGCCCTACTTTACATCATGTGCCTTCTTTCTTTGATTGATGAATATAAATTGTTGGATTTATGATCTGGTTGAACACTTGTGCCCGATTTTTGACCTATTTTCACTGTCAGTTTCAAGCCTCAAACTGGAACAAAGTTACAGGCGCACCACTAAATGGAACAGACAAATAATGCAGATGACAGCGGTTGTGCTTGTTAAGATTCATTGTGTTGAAACTTGGCGATTGTGGCATAATTTCTAAAACTATTTAAATTTGTAGCTGATGACAAAGGGAGTGCTTTATTAATTTCGATGATCTAGTTCAACCAATACACAGGTGAGATGATCATGTTGTTTGAGTTTTCTCTTCCTCTATTTAGTAGACTTTGTTTTTTCTTGAGTAGTTTTAGGTTTACAGGGAAATGAGTGACAAGCACAGATTTTACATTTACATTTACATTCTCTCATGTGCCCCCTGACCTCTTTGTTACCCTTCCTTATTAGTAAGTCCTCTGGTGTGGTACATTTAGCACAATTCATGCCCCATTCTTACTGACTGAAGTCTGTAGTGTTTTTCCATAATGTTGTACATTGTGTGAGCTTGGATAAATTAATATGGACATGTGTCCATCATTGGAGTATCATACAGAATAATTTCGTTGCCCTAAAATCCCCTGTAGTGTTTTTTAAAAATTTTTAAAATATAATGTATTATTTTTCCAAAGGAGGAAGTGTGTGTTTTCAGGAATTAAGATTTAGAAATGTAGTACAAATATAATATTAATTCAAACTATAGCTCAATAAAATTTAAACTTTTACAATATCTGGATTTTATAGTTTTAAACCTGGGGACTCATATAAATTCATTCAATTATAATCCCAACTGAAAAATACAGGAAACTACAAGGGTCACTGACTAGTTTACAATTTCATTTAGCAACAGATTAATACAATAATATTTAAGAGACAAATGGCAACTATACAATTGTCTTCTGTGTATCCTAAGTGAGTCCCCATTCCTTAATAAGTAAATCTTGAAGACATTCTTTTGATGTTTCTAGGGTGAGGGGAAAAAAGCCCATTTATCAGCCCTTCAAGAAACATTTTCTTGATATTATTTTTGTTTTTATACAAATAATTATTCTTTTTAATGTTCCGTTCTAGAATACGTAACCCTGAAAGAAACTTATTATTATTGCTATGCTTATTTCATCAGTTTAGCAGAGCGATAAATAGTTGTTGACTGGTTGACTGTAACTTAAGTAGTATGAATGTCCAGAGATTGCAAATGATTGACCAGAATGTGGATTCTCGGTTTTGTAGGTAAGAGTTAATTAGGCAAATGCTGAAACCAAATGGTAATTTTTAATCTGTTCCCTAAGTCAGCACCTGTAGACACTATTAAACTTCAGCAATCTTTTACTAGAAGGACATACATTTGTTCACTTTTACTTCAGGGGCAGAGGATAATTTTGATTTGGGAAAAGAAGAGTAAAGCCTATGAAAAGTAAATAGATTTCTTATATAGATGAGTTTATCCAAGAAATGTGTTCCCTTGCATATATAAAATTTGAACTTGATTTTTTTTAAGATTATTTACTCCTAATGCTAGTGTTTCTAGCCAGTGTAGTTAAACATTTAGTCACTAAGATGTTTGTCAGCGATAATTAAAAATGTTGGGTAGCCGATTGAAGTTCGACCGAATTACTACAGGTATTGGCATCAAAATGAACAGGTCTTAGAGGGCTTATGGCAAATGATGAGAGCCTTGCTCTTGGGGAATTTACCCTCCTAAAGGAAGCTGCCTTGACCATGGCTCCCCCCTTTTGGTCACTCTGTGTGCAGTGATGGGTAGATGTGGGGATACAAAGTCTCTTTCCTTAGCACAGTCTATCAGAAGTCCAGTCATTTATACATTACCAAAATATAAACTATATTACAGATAGGTGTGATCTGATGAACATATTGAGCTACATACAGACCTTTGGAGTTGAATTCCTTTGCATTTATTATCTCACTCCATGAAAGTGTATGGTGTAAGATTGGTTCAGCAAACGTCAGTCAATTAAAAGAGACATTGCTAAGTTGAGAATTTTCGTAAAATTCTGTTGCTTTAGATGTGTATAGTGGTTGGAATACTTTTGGTATTTTAAGTTAATTTACTCTTGGCAAAACAAGATTTCCTGTTTTTAAGGCAAAAGAGTTATAAAAATGCCCAAAGATACCATAGACATTGGGAGGGCACTTAAAAACATTGCTTGAATGATTCAAAAGTAAATGAATCAGAAACATGTGGATTAGATTTATACCCTCTTGGATATAGAAATCTTCTGGCTTAATGTGTCTTGAGGTTTTTATTAAGCTCCAAAACATTTAAAGAACAATTCAAGATTGTTAATGTGCCCAGAATCTCTCAAGGTTGCCAGTTTTAACTTTGTTTAGTTTTTCT